GGTAAAATGTCATAGTGATCCATACACTTGAACACAAGTTATTGTCTGGAAACTAGAAAAATGCTTATTTTTGGCCCCTTATTCCTAAACGTTTTTGGCAATTTCATAGAGATCCATTCACTTAAACTAAAGTTAAAGTGCGAAAACCAATGTGTCTTCGGACGACGATGACGACGCCAACGTCATACCAATATACGACCACAAAAAAATTTTTGTGGTCGTATAAAAATTTGACTATAAAGGGCAATAACTCCTTAAGGGGTCAATTGAAAATTTTGGTCATATTGACTTATTTGTAGATCGTACTTTGCTGAACATTATTGCTGTTTACAGTTTATCTCTATCTATAATAATATTTAAGATAATAACCAAAAACTGCAAAATTTCCTTAAAATTACCAATATTCAGAGGCAGCAACCCAACGGGTTGTCTGATTCGTCTAAAAATTCCAGGGCAGATAGATCATAACCTGCTGATCATTTTACTCATGTCAGTTTTGCTCTAAATGCTTTAGTTTCAGAGATATAAGCGAAAGACTGCATTTTACCAATATGTTCTATTTTTAGCCATGTCTGCCATCTTGGTTGGCAGGCGAGGTCATCGGACACATTTTTTAAACAAGATACCCTAATGATGATGGTGGCCAAGTTTGGTTAAATTTTGCCTAGTAGTTTCAGAGGAGAAGATTTTTGTAAAAGTAAACGACAACGGACGCCAAGTGATGAGAAAAGCTCACTTGACCCTTCGAGCCAGGTGAGCTAAAATGCTTGTTTTTGACAGAGGGACAACGACAACAACATAATTTGCAGTTGTATAAAACTAAAAAATTTCAAGCAGTCAAGGACAATGGACACATAAAAGACAGATTGGTTGATGATTGTTGGTTCCTTAACGTCCAGTGGCAAATGTTTCATGCATATTCAGGAAGACATGAAAGACAGAAACTTCGTAACATAAAGTAAAATTTGTGTATAATGTATGAAGCATCAAAGTCATCTACCCACAGAATATAAAGCTAAATGCAAATAGTTTCAGCAGGGGAGACAAAAAAATAAGTCTTTATGGTAAATTTTACCCCAAATTATCACAGAAATCAATATTTAACACTGGGAACCAATTTTGAAAAGCATATCATAACATAACTCGTATATCAAATTTTGTGAAAACGTTTTCTCAAAATTTGTGATTTTTTTACAAATACCAAGTTTTCTACCACTTTTTCCCAAATTTTACATAAAACACAAGGGACCTTCCTTTTATATTTATTTCTATTTAGCACATTTTTTTTTTTTTTATAATTTTCATTAGAAATCATGTTTACTGTAAAAAATGCCAATTCCTGCCTTATATGCCCAAATATGGTCGAAAAAAAATGTCTTATTTTGATAAATTTTCTGTAATTTCTATTTTCTTTCTTGAAAGGTAATCTGACTTAGATCATTTTGTACCTGTAAGACCTTTTATTCACAATAATTGTGTTTTGTCCAAACTCATCTTCTAGACCTAAAAATTTTATAGTATTCTTATGAAACTTTACAATTACTTAGCATGGTATCTTAGTAGTATAAATGCCAAATTTTATTACATTCTGACAATTATTAAAAAAGTTTGGAATGTTTTTATATTAGCATATCTGTCTGCGGAACATGCGTTTTGCAAAGTTTTAAGAATTCAGTCAAAATTTTATTCAGAAAATATTTGTTTAGTAATTTTTTACCAAAATATGCCTTGATCCAGTAAACATAACTTGTATTTAGTTGTAATGAGACAACTGTTAAAGCAAACTGCACTTTATGTGCCAGTTTTTTTTCATATTTATATATCTCTGATTCTCAAGTCAAAATTGGTCAATATGATAAGGGTACAGCCATAAAAAGCATAATTGTGGGTAAATTAACACAGAAAAGTTTATTTATTTTCATCTTTCTATCCTCTCTATTGGTTATTTACTTCTAAACAACTAAAAGTAATTTAGAATTGACACTTTTGAACTTTTAAGAAATTTTACTTTACATAGTTTTAAATGTGTTTGTATGTCATGTTATGTCCCAGGATCAAACCAGTTTTGGAAAAACTTATTGAAATTGCATTTATAAGGTACCCTCATTGATTCAATAAAGTAATGTGGTGCATTCTCACATTATTTTTTTTTATAATTTCCAAAATTGGTTTTTCCCATGAAATATAAAATCTAATCCTTCTGAAACACTAATTAACTTTCTGACGCACTTATCTTTCATACTGACGCTTCTGGGTCAAAGATTGGTCTCATGGGACTATTAAATTATCATTTTCCTCCAAAATCTTGAAGGTAGACTGATATAAATAGATAGATACTTGTGAATTAATTAAGACTTGAAGTTATTTATAACTTGTAACCAAAATCAATTACATATGTTCCTTCAATAAGTGTTATTACTATTTTTTTCAAAAATGTATAAAATAACTTATTCAAGTAATATTTTTGTCATTATTTTTAAAGTAACCCTTTATCTCTATACTCCTCTCAAATCTAATAAATTCTTTATTTTAAATGCAAATTCCTGCCTTATATGCCCAAATATGGTCAAAATGTCTTATTTTGATAAATTTTCTGTAATTTCTATTTTCTTTCTTGAAAGGTAATCTGACTTAGATCATTTTGTACCTGTAAGACCTTTTATTCACAATAATTGAGTTTTCTCCAAACTCATCTCCTAGGCCTCAGACCACAATTATTCTTCCCATTGGTTACAATGCATTTTTTGGTAAAAGTCTAAGTGAATTAAAAAAATTGTACCGCTTCAAACATGAAATAAATTTACTTGCTTATAGACCATTATTATTTGAATAAAATATGCTTGTCCCAGGACAATCCATCAGTGCTTTTCCTTTTGAGAGTCATATTAAGATGCCAATGGTAGAATTTGAATCTTGAATCTTAGGCCACAGACCACAATTAATTCCTCTATAAGTTCTTTATAACGTTTTGTCTAATTAAAAAAAATTACCTTTATTTTTTTGTCAAATCATTTGTGTGTGTAATGTACAGTACAAGTCCAAAAATATATCCAAGTTTCAGAAAAATTGAACGTTTACATCTTACAAATTTAGATAATACACATCCATACCCCTATGGACAAGTCAAGAGATGTTCCGAAAACTGTAAATATTACCTTTTTGCACCTGGCCTAATCACTCTTTCCATATCAAAATCAGTTAAAATTAAACATAAAAAAATTTATTTCAGCTCTCTTCTTTCATTTCCACCTTAAAAACTAAGAAATGTATGAGAAAAGGAAAGAAAAAAAATAAAGAAAAAATACACTTTAAAAGGGAACTATATCAACGAAAAGTGGGGTCATTAATTGTGGTCTTGGGCCTATTAGACCCTTTTTCTTCAATATAACACCCCGAAAAATGGCACGCATTAAGCTTATTCTATATCGAACTAGCATACTATATATCAAATCAATCCGACAAGTTTTATGACAGTTCTGATAGTTTTAATAACACTACCCTCATGTTGATAATTCTAGGTATTTTCTGGCATGAAACTTTCAAAACATGTAACTACTAGGAAAAGTAAAAGTTTAATAACTTTCTTGTTAAACATGATATCTTTAAAAAATAAAACGTCTATAGTAGCTGAATGGTTAAATTTCTAGAATCTGAAAGAAAATTTATCAAACATTATGTTTTTTCAATTGAATTTTTTTTTTTTCTTAAATTCTTGTAAATTAAGTTAATATACCAACACTGAATATAAATAAAATTCCATTATAAATATTTAAAAAGAAAATTCACTTTCAAAACTTATCTTAAAAAATTGCTTATCTTATCTGTAATAAGTAAAATATAACATAAACACTAATTAGACACATTTCACAGGTACTTGAGGTACCAATATTCATGTGTAACATCAGGTCAGATTACATGTAAAGAAAATTTCAAACTAGTGTAATTTCTTTATTCCTTGAAATATTACTCTGAAATAAACTTTGTAGTGAAGTTTTCTGTTTTGTTTATTTTTATAGATAAACAGATTTTAATTTTGTAACAGATTTCTGTAAGAAAAATAGTTATTAAAAAATATATTGCATTTTCATAAAAAAATTATTTAAAAAATTAATAAAAAAAATAAATATGCTTCTTTGTTGAATTAATCTCTTAATAAATGATAAAGTAACATATTTAAATAGATTTGGATAAAACAATCTTTATCTGGACCCCTAATAATAGATTAATTGGCTTAGATGGATACTGCTAAGGAAACTCTGTTTATTCAGAGTTGCCTCTGAAGGTGGTCTCTTGAAATCCACACCACAGACTGCATCAAAGGAAAAAATGTACATCAAAGCAGATATCATACAATGCTTGATTATAAATATAAGGATGTCCAAAGTATATGCTATCAGTCCAAGCTGCGATATTACGGATCCAGTTAAATTTTCAAAATGTTCACTAAAGATTATACCCCATATAACAAAGGCAAGAAGATGTCAAAGAAAGACAACTCTCCAAGAAATCCTGGATGGTTCCCTGTTGGCACAAGTGGTAGAAGCAGAAGCCGGACGTCAATACAGATCCCTGATTCAGCTAGTGCAAGTACTTCCTATGTGCAGCAAACTTTACAATCTCCTGACTGTGAAGAGACGACTGGTCACATCTGTAATCTTCGACTGCAAGCGAATGCTGACCTGAAAAAAGAAGAAAACATAGCATTACATTTTGGTATGAGATGGATGGACAGTCAACTGACACTCAGCTTGTACAACACTACTTTTGATAAACACCAAGTGAACTCACCCTCCTGTCCTAAGTTTAATGTCGACTATCAGCAACAGAAAAAGTGGGGAACTTGCTGGCAGTATACCCTGAAATGCATAACCTGTGGTTTTATTGGAGACAGAATGAAGATGTATAAAGAAATAGCTAATGGCAAACCAGGACCCAACCCAGGACAACCAAATGTAGCCCTTGCATCCGCTTTGCAGGATTGCCCAATTGGAAATACCACGATGCAGCAACTACTTGCAGGAGTGGACACACCACCACCATGTCGAAGCAGTATGCAACGCACATCTAACAGAGTAGCAGCTGAAATGGTCAAACTCAATAAAACAGACATGGCACAGAAACTTGAACAAGTCAAAGAAGTCAACAGAAAGAGAGGTGTACCAGAAAATGAAATTAACATAACTGTGGATGCTCGATACAACAGCAACACAATTGTTAGTAAAAAGAAGCCCGGTCAGAATGCCACTCAAGTATTCGCACTTGGTATTGAAACAATGACAGACAGAAAGTTTATTGTAGCTGCTGTTGTGCAGAATAAGATGTGTTGGAAAGGGGCTTGGCTTAGAGGTAAAGGCTTTCCAATAGAATGTCCAGGCCATGAAGACTGTACAGCAAATTTAAACAGAGCTGCTTCCCTGTCAGAGTATGAGCTGGGAAAAGAGATTGGAAACCAGCTAGGACTACAGAAATTTCTTGTAAGGTATGTGACCACAGATGGAGATGGACGTTCAGCTAGAGGTATTGAAGATGCCATTAAAGCTCTCGAACCAATGTGGAAGGTAGAAAGACTGGCAGATCCAGTACATTTGGGACAGTCTCAATTCAGGGCCTCTAATCGAGCTCAATACAGTACGGGAATGTTTCATGGAAAACAAAAGAGGAAAATGGACAACTGAAGACAGTGTTTAGCAAAGATCTCAAGTGCAGATGCTCCATGATAATAAATAAACTGATGGAAAAGTACGACAAAAACATTGATGAAATAAGTAAAGACTTACCAAAAGTTCTAGATGCAACTCTTCGCTGCTATGATGGTGACTGCACCCTGTGTCAGGAAAATTCCATTGTCTGCAAAGGTGATGCTGCACTTAACTGGTGGAGTCGTTCATCTTACTTGTCCACATACCAAATCACTGCCCTGCAAATGGATAAAACAGACAAATTTTAACTACAAGAAATCCTGAAAATGAAATTAACTAAAGCAGCTGTTGAAAGTATGAAACTGTATGACAACACAAACAAAAATGAAGGAGTACATAGAGCACTGAGTGTAAATTTGCCCAAAAATGTAATTTACTCCAAAAATATAGAAGGACGACTTGCTTCAGGAGTACATAGAAATAACAACATGCCGCGAACCTCGACCCAACTGAAAATACGAATCTAGGAGTAGACCTTTCAGAACGAAGTAAACTTCACCGGAAGAAAATGGACACTGACTTTAAATACAACCAGGATTATATACTTAGACCAGCGGTTCAAGAAAGGAGATTAAAGCAGAATGCAGAAAAGCTAGCTGAGCACAAGACATGGAGAGAAATGAATAAAAAGCATGACCATTACAGCAAAGGTCAATTAGATCCACAGCCTGCCTTACAGTTCCACGACAGCTACTGCAAACCAAAGCTTCCCAGACCTGCTGCAGACTGAGATACCAGCTGATCCACCAATAGATCAACAGCAAACAGAATCATAAAAGGTCCTTTTTAGGACCACCCAAATATTAAAAAAAAAATCTAAAGTTGTTGTACATCAGTTCTAAAATTTCTTTTCTTTTACTCTCTCATTCTGATATCAATTTTTTGCCAGCCCTAGAATAATAATAAAGATAAATGTAACCAATTAATATTTTACCCAAATTATTATTGTCCATTTTTAACTCCACTCTGCACGGAGGGGTGGCCCAAGCAGGAACGGGTTGAAACGCATGACTGTCGGCTGTTGTTGAAGCCATGAGGTTCCAACGACAGATGTTCGACAGTGATGCATTTCGAATTGTGGCACAGATGCGAAACATCAAAAGTTTTATCAATAAAAGTATTCTGATGATGCACCATGTAGGCAAGCCTGTGCAAATGCATTTGTCTCCACCCTCTGGCATCTGGAAATTTACAATTAATAACCCCATATTTGCCATTAGGTGTACATAAACCTGTCCAAATTTGACGCTGCCCATTATAGCCAGGTGCAGAGCTATCATTCAGTTTTAGTCTATATTTTTGAAAAAATGCATCCATTTTGAAGAAATAATCTTTAGAAAGACATTAGAGTAGTAATATATTCTAAAAATAAAAAAACAGTATTGACAGAAAGGGCTGAAACAGGGGGTCAAAGGGCTTTCAGTGCATCAAAATGTCCAAAAATGGCCAAAAATGCACATTATCACAGAATCATGATTTATTTAAGTTAAAATTACAATAAACAAATATTATTTATCATTTGAAGTGACTTTCTGCCAACAAAGTTGGTCCATTCTTTATTTTCAAGATTTTGGGTATCAGCCTCTTAGGCCACGGACCACAATTAATTCCTCTATTAGTTCTTTATAACGTTTTGTCTAATTAAAAAAAAATTACCTGTTTTTTTTTTGTCAAATCTTTTGTGTGTGTAATGTACAGTACAAGTCCAAAACTATATCCAAGTTTCAGAAAAATTGAACGTTTACATCTTACAAATTTAGCCAATACACATCCATACCCCTATGGACAAGTCAAGAGATGTTCCGAAAACTGTAAATATTACCTTTTAGCACCTGGCCTAATCACTCTTTCCATATCAAAATCAGTTAAAATAAAACATCCAAAAATTCATTTCAGCTCTCTTCTTTCATTTCCACCTTATAAAAACTAAGAAATGTATGAGAAAAGGAAAGAAAAAAAATAAAGAAAAAATACACTTTAATTAAAGGGAACTATATTCGTGAACAACGAAAAGTGGGGTCATTAATGTGGGGTCATTAATTGTGGTCTTGGGCCTAATAAATGACGAAGGCTAATTTCTACCCTACTTTCATTTTGGCCGAATCACTACTTTCACTTTCAACAATAAATTTTTTCCACATGTTTTACTTATTTCAATATATATGCAACTGTTAGGACCACTTCAATAGTAAACATTTCAAAGAAAACAGTAGTCAGAATACTTAGGAAGAAATACCCCATATAATAATTGGGAACTACATTCCTAGACCACGAACAAAGGGGATTAATTGTGGTCTGAAGCCTATAAATGTTAAATTTCGATCTCCTATAAAGGAGGTGAAAAAAGTAAAAATATTTGCATATTTGAGTCTCGAGGTCGCAAAATCTCTCGTAACTTGACGTCCATTTGAAAATAAAAGTAAAAATGTCTGAATCGATGGGTCACTGTGAAAACTGTCTAAATAAGAGAAAATAAAGGGTGGCAGGTAGGTGAAACTTACATAAATGAAGAGATGAATGAAAAATGAACAAATTGATACCCGATTTATATAATTCCAAGGCCGTCCATTGGCACCAGAAGCGACGAAGCAGCGCATCTATTTTGGACGGGCAAATATCCACTTTTTGATATGGGACGAGCTCTGACGTCCCACGGCCCCAGCTTGTCTGGCAAAACAGCCGTTGGACGTCAGAGTAATCTCGGACTAGGTTTTGGCATATAATAGGGTTTTCTTTTGAATGTATTGGGTTTTAGAACGCTGCAATGGGCAATTGCATTGGGTTTTTAATTATTTTTATTGCGTGATCACGCAAATACGCAGCTTATCTGGAGCTCTGATGAGGTGAAATAAGACACCTAGTCTTATTTGACATATTTATATAATTTAAACTATCATAAAAAAATATTTAGACTGCACAGGATTTCCTGGTTTTTGAAGTATTTAAAGGAACTCATTACTAAACATGTTCATTGTTGAAGACTCTACATCGACTGTCAAGATAAAGAACAGGAATAAAAGCCCTCTTCATTGATAATTTGTATTTTTTCCTTGTATTTTGTGAGGTTTTGTCCCATGTACATTTACTCCATATCCCTTTATTTTCTATAAAAGACACAAATAAAAAATATAAGATAATTTTATTATAGGACAATAATTAAAATATAATATATATATATACACATGTACATGTATGGTTGTATCCTACTACTAGAAATTCACAAAAAAATAATGTAACTTCAAACAACCAAATTATTACATGCATTATAAAAAAAACATACGATCACTTTAAGATGGATTGATACCATTTGATTTAGCATCTTGCAAATTTGTAAATTGATTTTTGATGTGAATGACCAAATAAATTTAAAACGACAAAAAAAGTAGAAAAAAAAAAACAATAACCTTACTTTAAAGAAATTCGTATACATGTATAGCAAAATAATTGCATTCATGCATAAACATTTAAAAGACCTCTTTTTCAGGGGAGAAAAATGGCGGAAGAATTGGAAATTTAAAAAAAAAAAGATTTCTTTCTTCTCAAAAAGTACCCAATCTAGCTTGTAAGAAATAAAAAAAAAATTACCAAAAATACAGTATGCATGTATTTGTGTATTAGCAATATTATTTCATGTAAAATTTGATTCCCCTTCTATTCAGCCCCTTTTTGATATATCCATATTCTCAATTTTTTTCAGATAATGAACCATTAGTAGCTAGACTAAAAACAACACGAAAAGTGGTGACAGAGAGTATGCGTCATGGGTTGATGTTTGAGGCTGTGGCTGCTGATTCCTATGCCAAAGTAAGGATATAAAATAATTTCGTAATCTCAAAACTATTATATCATATTCTTTGATTTTAGCCCTTTCAAATCATGGTATTTCGTAAAAAAAAATAATATGAGATTCATTCATTTCCTTATAATAAATTCAACATAGTTTTTGTCAAATGCTTTTAATAAATAAGCATGATGTTATAGTCAAAGACAGTTTCTATTTATCAAAAATTAACTTAAACCCTTGATCAATCAGAAATGACTGTACATCAAATGTTTGTCATAATTAAATGAATTAACTTTTCCAGTTACAGAATGAAAATGTGAATATTTTCCCCAGTGATATCATTGTCAGCCCATTCTCACCTTGGTTGGCAGCTAGTACTGATAGGAAAGTGTACAACCCAGCCATGTTGCCACCATATGGATTGCTAGAAATAAAATGTCCAGTGAAGCCTCTGGTAGACTCTTTATTTGAGAAAGAATGATAATTGAAACCTAACTTTAAAAAAAAATCACAATTATTATCATCAAGTCATTATGCAACTTGCTGTTACAGGACTTAAGTGGTGCCATTTGTATGTTTGGAGGGCTGATGAACAGCATCTGGAGACAATTGAGTTTGATGATGAAGAGTGGGGAAGGATAAAAACAAAACAAAACTTGATTTATTTTATTTTAATTATTTCTTGGATTAATCAGAATTATGAATATTGCTTAAGGTGGTACCAAACACCTTGACTAAAATAAATTGGCTCGTTTAATTCTAATAACGTTTTGACAAAATATTTACTATTACCATTTGACAAAAATATAAAAATTTCAAAAAACTTGAACCAAACACTTTCTTTTAAAATTTTCATTGGATATATAGCAGTTTGACAAACACTAATTTCGATCGTTGAGAAGCTATATTTCCTTAACGATACAATGTGATTAAAACATTTAGCTGATTTTACAGAGTTATCTCCCTGTAGTGTTAGGTACCACCTTAAATTTCTTTTGAATAGTCATTGTGATCAAAAGGTGAGAAAAAAAAAACAGTTATGATAATGTTTACCTTCAGTGTACAGTATCATAGAAGTATATTTTAACTACAGAAAAAGATAAAAGTGTTTAAGATCTATTTTTTTTTATTGTTATTGGTTGAACGGTTTCTAGTAAATGCACAGACAATAAAATTAATAATATTTTATCAT